CTCGTGTCTTTCGAAGGCGTCGTTTGTGCTTTGCTTGGTTTACACGCTTGTCCTCGCATAGCTTGGCCCCTTTCTTGACTACTGTGCGCCAGTGAGTTCTGTCATCTGCAAGCTCTTCCCAGTTGTCTGGATCTATTCCAAATTGCTTTGCAGAGACTTTTAGGGTGTCTTTGTAGCGCTTTTTCTGACCGCCTTTGCTGCGAGTGCCATATTGGAGTTCACCATAGAGGAGTTGTTTTGGGATGCGTGTATCAGACATCCTTCTCACATGACCGGCCCATCGGAGTTGTGCTTGCTGCAGCATGGTGTTGATACTGAACATGTTTGCACGATCCAGTACTTCAGTGTCAGGAATATGGTCATACCACTTTATGCCAAGGATCTTGCGCAGGCATATGGTGTGAAAATGATTCAATTTCCTGGCATGCCTTTGGTACACCGTCCATGTCTCGCATGCGTAGAGTAATGATGTCAATACTACTGCTCTGTACACGCCCAGCTTTGTCTCTGTTGAGATGCCTCTTCGGTTCCAGACTGTTTTGTTCAATCGACCAAAAGATGCACTGGCTTTAGCGATGCGGGCATTGACTTCATCATCTATGTGTATGACTCTGGATAACGTACTGCCAAGRTATGTGAATTTTTCCACCGGGTTTAGACGCTGGGAGYTAATGTAGATCTCGGGTTCCATGTATGGTGTGCTTGGTGCTGGTTGAAGCATGACTTCTGTCTTCTTGGTACTTATTGTCAGGCCRAAGTTGTTACAGGCATCTGAAAACTTGTTGACACTTTCTTGCATTTCTAGCCCTGTCTGTGTTGGYATTTAGAGCGCAGTCGTCTGCGAATAGTAAGACTCTGAGTCTGGTGATATGAACTTTAGTTTTTGCCTGGAGACGACGAGGGTTAAATATTCCACCATCAGTTCGGTATTTTATGTCTATACCCGGATCATTGTCGGAATATGCATCTGCAAGCATTGCGGTGAACATCATGCTGAAGAGAGTGGGAGCGAGCACATGGCGTTTGTACGTATGACATAATTAATCCATGCTCAAGAACTTTTAATTAATAGCTCTTTTGCTGRTTCTTTTTCATACATATGAGCATAATATAAGTACGTACACAAGGTTGATAGATTTCTTTTTTCTGTTTAATAGTTTTCTAAAGGTSTTYTAGACTCAAATACAGCACYAATATCAGATATTTAATCSACGATAATTTGAAAATATAGAAATGACGTTTGATTTGTCAAAGGGATTACGTTTWGCGATAGGATCCGAGATCAAAATGTTTGGGATTTTCGGGTCGATTAGGGATCAGGTTTTGAGACCTTGGATTGGATTCACTTAAAATCCCTTATACCTATAYATATATTATTACCCTGAAACTTTCCAAACTTTCAGTTGCTTCAATCAGACGAATACAAACTAAACAAAACAGGTATCATTTTAGATGGACGGTGAATATGATTACCAATCGAACTTTGACAAGTTTCATAGTTTGCTAAGTTGTTTGTTCACTGAAGACGTCTATTAACCCTCAATTAGGACGTCATGTGGAGAAAAAAATGGACACGAGAATGTAGTGTTGTTGTATTTGTATCCACATGTAAAAAAGGACTGGGTCCGAGAATAAAGGGAGATCGAAACACCACAATGGCGACGAGGATGTAACGAACTGATCATGGCCACAAACCTACCGTTTTTTCCGACATTTGACCTGAATGACGAGGCAGGAACCCCTTGGACCTCGATGGAAAAAGTACATCTCAAGATTTAAAAACCTTATCGTGGCTCTAGACATCAAGGACAAAGCAAGACAGCGTGCATTGCTCCTTCATTACGCTGGCGAAGATGTGAACGACATCTTTGAAACACTGGCCGACACCAACGCTGGAGAAGGCGAAGACCCATTCGAGAAAGCAGAAACAGCTTTAACAAACTACTTCGAACCAAAAAAGAACATCGCCTTTGAGGAATATAAATT